CTCCCTAACACCTTTCTTCTCCCTGCTTCACATCAGGTATACTACATAAACTTCACAGATTTTGCCAGCTATGAGGTGGTGGTGGATGAAAAGCCCTTTCTGCAATGCACTCGGAGTATTGAGACCGGCAAGACCAACTTCAATACCTGCTACACAGCCGGGGTCTGCCTCCTCAAGGCCAGGCAGAAGATCGCTGTGAAAATGGTCCATGCTGACATCTCCATCAACATGAGCAAGCACACAACTTTCTTTGGGGCCATACGCCTGGGAGATGCACCAGCATCCTAGAGGAACTTGGCATGGCCAAGGATACTCACAGAACTGCACAGTGCTGCTGTTCATAAGCGTATCAGTATTTCAGGGGGTTCTGTAATCCGGCCGTAAAGAAAACTGATCCAGAGCTATTTATTCCTATATGTGAATGCAGGAAGCACAATTGTCCTCTGTGACTTGCGTGGAGACTTGGATCAAAAAAAAAAAAAAAAAAAAAAAAAAAAAGCTGGTTGCAAAAGCATTGTGAGGAAGAAAGGCTGTTGTGTCTGCCTTGTCTCAGTATTTCAAGTATTACTGCACTGATACTCTGCTCTGTGATCTTCACACGAGGCTTGTCGGGAGAGCTGTGGGTCTCTGCTTTTATGTTGCACTAGCAAGAGCATCCCAGGCAGTAGCGGGAGCAGACAGACTCCCGTCCCCATTGTCCCAGCCAGGCACTCCTGCTTCTGCACGCTAACGAGAGCAAGGAAGGGGGCTGCTGGTTTCCTGCCTTCCCAGTGGGAACTGGAACGGCCGCGGGCGCGGAGGGAGGTGGGCGAGGCAGGGTCGTGGTGTTTACATTCATCCTCAGGAGCGCGGGCGAGGAAGTGCCTCTTCCCAGAGCTTGGAAGCAAAAGCAGGAAGTGCGAGAGGAAGAGGAATCCTTAGTAAAACAGGCTTAGCAGATAGGAAACTGCCTCCACATTCCAGAAACCACCAAATCCCAAAGAAAACGCCGGTTCCCGGGTCCAGGCCTCTGCTCCTTTCAGTTCCTGCCCTTACCCCAGAGGTAACTTTGCCCCGCCGGGGGCTGCCTTAAAGTACTGCTGCTGTTACAGCATGTTCTGTTTGGTCGGGGGTATTTTGTTTTGGGGTTTGTTTTTTTTTTTGGTTTTTGTTTTGTCCTTTTTAATTAATATTTTGCAAACCAGAACACATTTCTACAGGCTTCACCGAGCCGCGTAGAGCAGACACAAGTACTTGTGAGAACACTCGGAGGAAGTTTGTCATGTTTAAGAATAAAATATTCAAACAGGAAATTTATTTTTTTTTCTGTTTTAATAGCAACTGTCCTGCTTTTAGATGTAGTTTTTAGCCTTCTTCCCCCCACCCCTTCCCTCTTGGCACCCTTCTACCTTAAATAAGTGGTGATGGAGTCTCTAGCAAAGAAAAAAAATAATTGTATTTTAAAATCTGGTCCAGCATGAAGTCACCACTTTTTCTTTTCTCTGAGCCCTGCTGAGTCTAGTCATAACTCGATTTCTGGTGACTAATAGAAGAGCTGGGACACTATTGTTTCTTTTGGCTTCTTGAGCAACTCTCTCCCGTTACCTCCCCTCAGCTGGGGAGACCTAAAGCCATAAGATGTGCTGGAGCTGAGGAGAGGCCGAAGCGCAAATTGCTCTGTTGTGTCAGCCCTTGGCTCGCGCTCCTCTGGGTTGGGGTTTTGTTTCCCTGCATTTCTTTTCAGAGCCTGTTTTTGCTTTCAAGAGGGGAGTGAAGTTGCAGCCTGTTGTAGCAAATAAGGCAAGTCCCAAACTGGCTTCTTCAGCCTGGAGAAGGGAAGGTTTTGGGGAGACCTCAGAGCCCCCTCCAGTGCCTAGAGGGGCTCCGAGAGAGCTGGAGAGGGACTCTGGACAAGGGGTGGAGTGACAGGACAAGGGGGAATGGCTTCCCACTGCCAGAGGGAATTAGATGGGATATTGGGAAGGAATTGTTGGCTGTGAGGGTGGGGAGGCCCTGGCACAGGTTGCCCAGAGAAGCTGTGGCTGCCCCATCCCTGGAACTGTCCAAGGCCAGGTTGGACAGGGCTTGGAGCATCCTGGGCTAGTGGAAGGTGTCCCTGCCCATGGCAGGGGGTGGAACGAGTTGATCTTTAAGGTCCCTCCCAACTCATCCATCCTGTGATTCCATGATCTCAGTGATGGCTCCACCTCCACACAGAGGTGGCTCAGCCCTGGTCACCTGCAGGGACGTGTCCGGGACATGTCCCAGCACTGCTGTGGCCACGGGAGTGTCCGCCCTGCCTGAAGCATTCCTGGCTCCATCACTTTTCCGTAGTGAGTGATCTCCCTTGCCAAGTGTTGCAGTTATTGGGAGATAAATATTCCTCGGGGGCTCCCGGCGTTGGCCACGGCCTCGCTATTCACAGGGGCCCTGCAGTTTGTAAAACAACTGCGTGACAAATGGGCTGCTCTTGCTTTTTAGTGGGTTGTCCTCCCTTCAGCCTCAACATGCTGGACTGGCAAGAGCCTTGAGGGCTCTTCTCTGGGCTTTGTGGTTTATTTCCTTTAAAATGGATTAAGAAGGACATGTTCCCCTGACAAGAATGAAGGGGGACAACTGTGTGTAGTGAGAACATTAAGCAAATCGTTAACAGAATTGCTTTAGAACAGGCCTGAGCAGCCAGGCTGGGGGCAGGCATAAATAACAGGGGCTTTGGGAGAGCTGTGGATGGAGTTTGCATTCCTTGTCCCCCACTGGCAGGATCTGGGATGTGCTCCATGGCTGCTGGCAGGGGGAGGCAGAGGGAGAATCCTTTCTCTCCATAAAAGCCCTGCGCCACTGTCCCCTCTCTAGTGTGTGCCTGGGATGCAGGAGGAGAGCAGGAGGGAGTGATTCCTGCATGGAATGTGTTAACAGGATTTTTCTCATGCTCACTACATCGAAGTGTGAGCTCAGTGTAGCCCAGTTGGAGAGCAGAGAACTGCTGACTGCAGGTGGCCTTGGCAAGTAAAGCTCCTTCCTGCTCTTGGTGTTCCCGGAGAGATGTCCTTCGCTGGCCACACCAGGAGTTTCCATGGAAGGTCTGTACAGCCCCAGCAGAGTGTTGGCTGTGCTCGTGTGACAGGACAGGAAAGGTGAAGCGTCTCCATCCTTTGGGGGTGTGAGAGGCACCATCCCCTCGTTGGGCTCAGAGCTGCTCAGGATTCACCTTCCTGCTCTCGGCATCAGGGGACTGCGTGGAAAGAAGCCCAGATCCGATGGACTTGGATAACCAGGTACCTTCCTGCCTCCAAAATGCCCTGGCTGGGAGCATCTGTCACCCACGGCTGTGACGTGGGCTGGGGATTTATCCTCTCTTCCTCCACACCTGTGTCCTGCTGCTCAATCCTCACGTCCTTTGGAGACCTGTCCTGTGAAAGCCTCAGGGGGAACAGACCCCTCTGGAGCCCTGGGAGCCGGCGTGGAGGGCAGGAAGGACAAGAAGCATAGGATACCCTGGGGTTTCAGGAGCAGGTCTCTGCCTGTTTGTTCTGTGAGGTTCACTCTGCCTTTATCACAATCCCAGAAAAGCCCCTCAGTGTTTGCTGGTGCCTCAGCCGGCTCTTGTCCACACCCAGTGCTCCTGCAAAGGGAGTTCACAGCCTTGGGATGCGAGTGCCCAGGGATTCTCCGCAGAATCAGGGACTTTTCAGCTGGTGCCATGGGCTGGGCAGACCCGTGTCCAGCAACTGGGGGTGCAGGAGGAGCAGCCGGGGTTCCCCGGGCAGTGCTGGGGCCGGGTGCACCAGGGCTGGAGCAGCGGCCAGTTCCTCTTTTGGGGCTCCACATTCGCTGCTGGTGGGAGATGAGGGCCGAGGGTTCATCCAGAGGTCGGTGTTTCCCTGGCAGGGTCTCACATCTGCACAGATGTGCTGTGTGCTCACAGCTGCCTCGGCCCAGGACACCAGCCCTGGCCTCGGGGGGCTGTCACCCTGTCCTGCCTGCTGGGGACCTTGGTCCTGCTCGAGGCTCAACCACATCCTGACATGACAAAGCTCCTCAGAGGGTGAGGGGCAGCCACAGCAGAAGCCAGGCTGCTGCTTCTTCCAGATGTGTACGTGTAGTTACATAAACATATTATCTGTGTTTATTTATTTATGTGGTTTATGTCTATATAATAGTTTTCTTCCTGCCAGACACCTCTAGGACTAGAGCACGAGCTCCACAGCTGAAACTCCACATCCCTGGGTAACCCCTCGACAGCCTGGAGCTGCTCCTTCGGATGGAATTGGCCACACTGGGCCAAAAACCCCAAAACTGTGCATTTTGGAGAACACCCTGTGACGCACAAGGAGTACATCCCCGGGGAGTGTATCAGCACTAGGTGGCACAGGGACACGGAGATGCCACCATAAAAAAGTCCCTGTGTGTGGGGTGCAGCTCTGAGTGCCCAGATCCCACCTGGAGCTGCCACAGGGACAGTTCCCATCTGGTTCCTGCCCTGGGTGAGGAGGGGACCCGGCAGCCGTCCTGGTGGGGACATGAGCAGCACTGGCAGCACAGCAGACTCTGGGGAGGAAGAGGAGGACGAGGGGGATGCCAGCTCTGCACATCCCACTGGGAAGCTGAATCCCGGGGAGCCGTTGTCTCCCGAGGAGGGGCAGGTGCTGCAGGAGAGTCCCCCGGGCTGGGCTGCGGCAGCTGGGGAGGGGAATTTCTCGGTGTGACGGGCTCACCTGCGGCCCAGGGATGCCGGGAATCCCGCGGTGATGCCCGATGGCCACAGCCGGGAGCTCAGTCCCTGGCTCAGGATGGCCACGGAGCCCTCGCTGGCTGCTCCCGGTGCCCTCGGCACCAGCTGCCCGACAGGAGCTGGCACAGGGCACAGCCTGTCCCTGGCACAGGGAAGCTGCTCGGGGGAACTCCCCCAAACCCGCTCGGCTCTCCCAAGTGCCACTTCTGCCTCCTGGCGTTTGATGTCACACTCGGTCACCCCGATCACCTGAGCAGCCTCCTCCCATCCCGCCGTTTCTCTTTCCCTTCCCTGCAGTGCTTTCTGCACTGTTTTTCCCCCTCTTCAGGCTTATGTCTTTCTTTTCCCACTTCCGTAGCTACGAACACCCACATGCCTTATCTCCTTCCCCCATCCCATCCTGAAGCCTATTTATACAGAGCCTGGCTCCTGCCCAGCTTGCCGGAGAGCGCCGGAGGAGCGGGACGGGGCTGGCAGCGCCCGCAGCCCAACATGCTCTTGGCTGAAAGGGGATGTTTGCTGCTCTGGCTGCTCCCATCCATCCTCAGAGCCCGGTCTAGCACGGATTCGAGGCCCAGGTCCATGCCCTGCCAGCAGGTAAGGCTGTTTTCCCAGGAGCACCTGGGCTGGTATGGCTCCAGCAGCATCGCTGGGGCTGTGAGCATCCCTCTGGGTCTCCTCCCCATGGCTCTCACCTTCCTCCATCTCTTTAACCTTCCCAGCCTCTCCTCTTTTCCTGTCTGCGAACCAGTCTCCTGCGAGTTGATCCCAGCATCCAGCTGTTACCATATCCCTGCCGTGCCCCAGATGCTCAAAGGCAGGATGGAGCACAGGGATTCCAACAGCTGCCATGGATGTTAGAAAGGCATTTGGGTGCCTGGATGGGGAACAGCTGGTCCCCCCCTCAGAGAGAAATCAGCTGCTCCCCATCCAGGCTTCCAATTCCAGAGGAAACCAGTTTGGAGCGAGAGGGAAGGTGGAGCCCACCACAGCACTTTTCTCTGCCTAAACAGGGATGCTCTGGACCAATTGGGCATGGGAAGAGGCAACAGTCTCATTTCCACTTGCTCATTCCCATCTTGGACAGCAGCTGGCTTGGCTGGAGCTGTGGTTTGTAGCCCCCCCCTTGTGCTCACAGCTCTCCTGTCTTTCCACAGAGCCCCACAAAGGTGTCCTGCAGAGGAGTCGGCCTGCAGAAGTTTCCCAAGGAGCTTGGCCAAGGAATTAAGCACCTTGAACTCTCCAACAACTTCATCCAAAACCTGTCAGACAGCTACATGCCAGGATTTGGGCAGCTGGAGTACCTGGATATGTGCTTCAACCAGCTGGAAGCCGTGTCAGCCACCACCCTGGCTCAGCTGCCCCGGCTGCGCTCACTCCTCCTGGGATCAAACCACCTGGACCGGAATTTCTTGGCTAATGGGGAAGCCTTCCGTCTGCTCAGGAATATAGAGGTCCTGGACCTGTCGGGGAATAACCTGGAGAGCCACATGGCAGGCTGGTACATCAGCAACCTCACCAGCCTCAGGGTGCTGGATCTCTCCAGGAACAAGATGACCAAGCTGCTGGCAGGGACCTTCTGGAGCACTCCAGGGCTGCGGGAGCTCGATCTCAGCAACAACTACGTCATGGAAATCCAGGAGGGAACTTTTGAACCTCTGCAAGAGCTGGAGGTGGTAAACTTGGCTTTGAACTCCATCCAGTGTATCTCTGGCTTCAGCCTCACGCAGCTGCGAGTTTTAAACCTCAGCCACAATGCCCTGGAGCTCTTCACCTCCGAGGAGGGAGTGGAGCCCTACCTGCTCCAAGTGCTTGACTTAAGCCATAACAGACTCCTCCATTTCCCAGAGCTCCCCAAAGTCAATGATCTCACACACTTAAACCTCTCCAACAACCTTATTGCTTCCCTGCTCCCAGGCTCTCACCGGCTGGAGGACTTTGTCCTGCCCTACAAGGAGATGGGGCGGTTCAACAGGACCGTGCGTCCCACGGCCACTCTGACACACGTGGCTGACTTGGACCTCAGCAATAACCGCCTGGAGCTGTTACCATTTACCTTCTTCCACAGCCTGGACTCCCTGCACAGCCTCAGCCTGGCTATGAACTGCCTCCAGGAGGTGGCCAGGGAGTCTCTCACCAATGGCACAGAGCCTGCTGACCCTTCTCCTGCTCCAGTAGAGCACACTGAGCTCTTCGTGCGCTCCCTGGACCTCCACAGCAATGCCCTCCGAGTGCTGCCACGCTGGTTCTTCGATTCCCTGCCTCAGCTGGAAAGCATGGATCTGGGCTCCAACCACCTCCAGCCTTGCGAGGGCCAGGGAAGTGACCAGGGAGGGGATTTGGGAGGGAGGTCTCACGTTCCAGCCCCTGGAGACACCTGCACCCCCTTCTACAACATGCCTCACTTGAAGCACCTCAGCCTTCGCGAGAACAACATCACCAGGCTGCACCCCCACGCCTTCAACAGGACCCCGCTGCTCTCCCTGGACCTGTCGGGGAACAGGGACTTGTCTGTGCCCACGGGAGCCCTGGGGGGGCTGGAGCTCTCCCTGCAGGAACTCTCTTTGAGGGGCAACCAGATGGACGAGAGCCGGGCAGTGCTGCCCTGCCTGGGCATGCTCCGAATCCTGGACCTCTCCGGGAACCGTCTGAGCCTTCTGCCTGCAGGTCTGTCCTGCTCCCCACTGGAAAGCCTGGACGTTCGGAATAACAGCCTGCAGACTTTGGGAAAACTCGTGGGCTGGTCCCACAGGCTGAGGGAGGTGTCCCTGGCCGGGAACCCCTTCAGCTGCTGCTCTCTGGGCTGGCTGGACTGGCTGCGCGCGGCCGGCGTGGCCGTGCGGGACCTGGGCGATGCCCGCTGCTCCTTCCAGGACCACGGCCAGAACATCTCAGCCGGGATCACCAGCTCTCCCCAGTGGCTCTGTCCCCAGCCCAAGGGCACTGGCTCACTGGCCCTGCTGGTGATCCTGGTGGGCCTCTCCCTCCTCAGTGCCGGGGCTTTCTGCCTCCTGAGGAAAGGCCAGAAGGCTCCGGGCTGTGCGGGACTCCGGAGCAACAGGGTGGGGGTCTCCCCGCCCCATCCCAAAGGAGAGGGGCCAGCCCAGGAGAGGCCACCAGACATGGTCACCAAAGTGTAGCCTAGAACTGTAGCAATCAGTCAGAACTCTAATTATTATTAATAATATTAATATTAATCATATTATTGTGGTCTCGTCACTGGTTCCTGTGGGTTCCCTTTAAATCAGTCACGCTCTGCTGTGGGATGGGAATTGTCTCCACTGGGGCCACCTGGGTGTTTCCCAGCTTTCCCAGAAGTCCCTGTCTGCCTTTTAATAAGGTTTAATAGCTCTGCTAAATACCTGCTGTTGCTCCTGAAGCATTCCTTAGTCTGGTGAGGGGCAGGAAATGGGAATGGTGCTTGGTGGTGGCTCTGAGGGTGGGTCGCAGTGCTGGGATGGGGAGGGGGTTTCTGTGGGACCCTGCTCGTCCTTCTGCTGCCTTTCCCTGCCAAGCTTTCATCTGAATGGTGCTGTGGAGCTGGCAGGGCTTACAGTGCTCCCACGCACTGCTGTGGGTGTCTCCTCACCCACTGGGATCATGGGAATGAGAGAAGTGGGAGTCTGTGCTGTCACCGGCCCTTCAGGTGGGTGCAGGACATCCCACCCTCAGCGCCTGGACCCCTGAGGTGACAGTGGCAGGGACAGTTGGTCCCATCCTGGGTCTCTTCTTTGCTTCTCCCCAGAAGTGTCTCCTGTCCTGGGGTGGCACCTGGGCTCCCTGGGGCAGGGTCCTGCCTTCCCATGTGCCCAGGAACCCCATGGCAGCAGGTGGGTGAGCTGAGCACGTCCCTGGGGCAGGACTCTGCATTCCTGTGTGCCAAGGAAGTGCCGTGGCAGGAGGTGGGTGAGCTCAGCGTGTCCCTCACATCGTGCCAACCTCCTTCCCCAGCCCAGCACTCGGTGACACTTTGGGGCCACCTGCCCGGAGCCCAGAACGCTGCTGTTGCCTTCGGTGGGTGTTTCTGGTGTATTTTTTGTGCCCTCTGTTCCTCACTTAACCCCTCCCAGGCTGTGCTTCCCTCGCATGTCACCAGGAAACATCCTGCCCTTTGTGCTGCTCCGCTGAGCTCTCAGAGGGCTGGAGCCTTGGTGCCACCCAGAGCCGGGTGACCGAGGGGACAGTGGGGAGCAGCAGGGACACCACGTGCCACCGGGTGCTCAGGGACACCCTGCACTGCCGGGCACTCGGTGCCAGGCACTGCCCTGAGCTCCTGAGCGCTCCCGGGCCGTGTTTATCCAGCGCTGCTGACACAGGATGTGTCGTGTCCCCGGGAGCAGCAGCAGCTGGGGGGGGATGATGGCCTGTTCGGGGGTAGTGGCACTTGGGGACAGCGGCTGCTGATGCCTGGAGTTTCCTCCAAGAATTAAAGCATCTGCTAAAAAATGTCCTGAAAACAGGAAGAAGGCTTGTGGTACTGGTTTTAACCCACAGGGAAGGCTCCCAAAGGCACAAAGCTGGGCTCGATGATCTCAAAGGACTTTTCCAACCTTAAGGATTCTATAAAGCTCAGGGAAAGGGGGAGAAGAGGGGTGGTGGCCTGGCAGTGGGACAGGGAGGCTGCCTGAGCCTGGGGAGGGGAGATTAAGCTTAAAACAGACAAGAAAGCCTGAAGAACCTCCAAGGCCAAGGAAGGGCTGTGAAGGTGTGAAAAATGAGCCAGGGAAATGGTGTGCTGGGTTATTACATTTATTGATGTCCATCTGCCTTCCCAATTCGCAGAAAAACAGGATTCCAGGTTGTGTCTCATGGATTTGACAAGAACTGAATCCACGTCAGTGCCAAGGGCAATGTCCCCTTCTCCCAGTCACAGGAAAAGCTTGGCCAGGAGCAGGGTGAGCACCCAGGGCCTGTGCTGGCACAGGGGACAACGAGGTGGGACCGAACCACGTTCACAGCAGGAACCAGCACAAGGCCAAGAGAGACCCGGGGTATGTCCTGTGTCTGCACTGCCCCTCATCCAGAGCTTCCCAGGCTTTAGGGGAAATGGTTTCCCTATCCCAGGCGTGTCTTGGCATCTCAAGCTTTTTCTTCATCCAAAAGGAGGGCAAAAGATATGTGGAATATTGAAATTCAAACAAATAAAGTGAGGATGCCAAAAATGTTGCATTTGAGTCAGGCTGGGAGGCAGCAGGAGTGTAAATTTTGGTCTGACAAAAAAAGCAGCGGTGGGTGAAATGTTGTGACCATTGACAAATTTTCTAGAGAACTCGTTGAGAAATCCAGCAAAACTCATTCTTTCCAGTGGAAAGCCTTCACATTTCTCTGGATCTGCATTTTCATAGAATAATAGATTTTTATCAAAAATTTCCAACAAGCTGTTCCTCTAACCCAGGAGGAAATTATCTTCCCTGCAACTCAATTATAGCACCTTTTTAATCCCTTTTTCCTTTTTTTTTCCCTCTTATTTCTCTTTCTCTCTATGGGGATGAACCAGAGCTTCACCTACTTCCAGAGCTGAGGAATATCCTGGGAGCTGATGGCAGATTTCACTCCTCAAGCCACCACAGCCCAGCAGAGTGAGGAGAATGCTCCTCTGCATTAAGCAGAGCTGAAATGAACCTGAATCTCACCAATGCTGATGAGATGATGAAGATCACGTGCTTTAGGCTGTTGTTCCACCCAGCTGAAGGTATGTCCCCCTCCAGAAACGCTGCTGGAGGTACCATTTCTTTTATTTTTCCTGATGCTGCTGCAGTGCCCATTCCCAAATAGGATTGATCTCGTCAATCCCCGTCCTCGTGCTCCCCGTGCTGGGCTGCCTTGGATTTGCTCCTAGGGAATGTGGTGCTTATTCTACAGCTTTGGGATGGGACAGGAGGCTGGTGGCACCTCCAGGACACCAGCCCACGCATCCCTCCCGTGCCTCGGGCTGTGCTGCTGCCGCTGCTTCCCGTTATCCCTCTCTGCCACAGCAGCTCTGACTCAACACAACTCCCCTGGCAGCCGTTCCCAGCCTGGAGGGTGGGGTCGGGCGTGTTGTTCATGACACTTTCCTCCTCTCTGGGGGGGCTCTGGCCAGGCTGGGACCTCCAGATGGGGAGCGTGTCCCCCCATGCCCCCCTGCCTTGCACAGCCCTGTGCTGCCCCTGCGGCATCGCTTCCCCGGGCTGGGGGGGGGCTGCAGATGTTGCCACATGTTGTGCAGCTGGATCCCCCAGCCCAGCTGTGCCTGCAGAGCCTGCCCTGGGCTGCTGGTCCGGGACACTGCCCCGGCAGCTCTGTCACAGCAGCACAGGGAGTGTCACCGGGGGTGATTCTCCTTCCAGCAGGTGCAGCCCCTCAGTCCCTGCTCCCAGTTTGGGGGCACTGGATGGCTGTGGGGACAGGTCACGCTGGGAAGTGACTCTGGAGGGGATAAACTGGCCAGGAGAGAGTCCCTGCCACCCCCAGCCCACCCTCAGCACCTGCCCTGTGTTCCTGACTCCAGCACTGCCTTGGAAAGAGGAAGGAGATGGTTTTGCTGAAGGACAGCAGAGCCCCACAGCAGGGTGGGCACTGGCACCCAGAGTGACCCTCACTGTCCCCAGCCTCAAGAGGGGACAGGAGGCTCATGGTGCCCACCAGCAGCTGGGATCTCATCCCCAACCTCTGGGACGTGGCAGGAGCTGGCTGGGGAGCAGGACCTGCCTTTCTCCAGGACGTCAGTGCCACATGACTGCTGTGCCACTGCGTCACTGCCACAGCCCCGGGCAGAAGGATGTGGCTCCTCGCGTGGTCAGGCGGTAGGTGAGCGTGGGGTGGGGAGCACTGAGGTCACCAGGGGCCTGAGGGGACACTGATGGCAGGGGAACCCCTGGGACCAAGGTGCCCCTCCTGAGCCTGGGAGCCACAAGCCCTTGGGAGCAGGGACGGTGAGTGGGGTCACAAACCATTCAGGGGCGTTTGCTTTGGCCCCTGCCCGAGTGCCAGTGGTGAGGGACACAAACCTTTGGCCATCCAGGACAACTGTCTGGTGTTCCTCCACTAATCAGCACCATCCCAAGAGCCAGCTCTGTGTGCAGACAAGCCCTGACCCAGCACTAGGTGTGCTCCTTCCCCCCCTGCCAGTGTCCTCCCCCAGGCTGTGTCCCCAGGATGGCCAACACCAGGCAGGTGGAGGATGACATTTCCCAATGTTTCTCCCTGCTCAGCACCCACCGAGGGAGCCCCAGCTGGGGGCTGGGGAAGGGAAGCATTTCCTGGGCTGGGAATCCCCTCCTGCCTCCCTCCTTCCCCCATGGAAGGGGAAGGAAGGGGTATTTTTAGGACTCGCCCTACGCCTGCTTCAAGGCCTGAGCTAAGAAGAGGAATTGACGTTCGAAGAAAGGTTGGTTTGGCTTTAAAAGGAAGGGTTTTGTTTTTTCCTGCTACTCAGTCCTTGCAAAACTTTTCTGTGAAGAGGGATTGGTAAAAGTACCTCTCGTAGGAGGCAGCCCTGGGCAGGGCACTGGTGTCACAGCTCCCTGTGCTGGCACTGCTTCCAGTGTCCTTGCCTTCCACATTCCAAAGGGAGGGATGGGGTGGGACTAATCTCCCCTGTCCCCATGCTGATCATGGCTCCCCTCACCTGCAAAGTGAGTCCCTTCTGCCAGCCCATCCTCCCATGGTTCCTCTCTGCCTTCCTGCTCTCCAGCAGCTTTTCCTGACCGCTGCTCACAGCTTCTGAACCCCCTGGGGACCCCCGTGCCTTCCCAGCTGCCATGCAGCACCAGTATTGTCCTGGCAACCCATTGGAGATGCTCCAGGTCCCGGAACAAGACACCACCCACACCTTGAGGAGGAGTTTAACTGAATGGCACAAGGTCAGTGGGGGGAAAAGCACCTTGCCGACCCCAGGAGCTGGTGGGAGCAGGTTCTCCAGGACACAGGGGCAAGTGGTGGCCCTTGAGCCAAACCAATGGCCAGAAGGTGGCAATATCCCCCCTCTGTTCTGGCCCTGACAGCAAAAGCTCCCTCCTTGTGCAGGGGATGGGGCCGGTTTGGTTGGGAATCTGTTAGAATCATGGAGTGGTTTGGGTTGGAAGGGCCATTAAAGCCCATCTCCTAGACATTCCCAAAACACAGCATTGCCTGTGCTTGGCAATTCCTGCCTCGCATGTGCTGGATGAACCTCTGCCTTCCCTCTGCCCACTG